GAAAGAGGAAAAGAGAAGGTAAACTTAAACTAAGAGGTTTCATGCATTTCTGGACTATTTATAGTAAGTTCTTGTTTTTTTGGAAGCAAAATTAATTTTTATATTGAACTGATATCCAAGGACTAACATGAAACTTACATGTTACTTAGCAGTTACACCACTGCTTGGCTATACTATATTTGGAAATGTCTACATTTTAAAGAAATATCTACTTCATATTTAGTAGTACTAATTACAGAAAATGCTGTCACATAGCAAGACTACATATCACTCACTGTATACTTTCATATAATCAATTATTACAAATGAAGGCCATAAGGCAAGCAGTCTGTTATCTATTAATTACCCAAGACCCCTCATATGTTCACTTTAATTGAGAAAGAACACGTTAAAATTTTCAGAAATGAATGGGGTTTTTTATCATTAATAGGACTATCAATGTGGTATGAGGGCAAGCACAAAAAAGTTGATGTCTATTCATTGTTAAGACAGTATTTATAAAATAGGATGCAGGACCAAGAGCTTAGCAGTTCAGGAATAGTGTCATTAGCCTAAGATTTTTTTATTAAGGAAGCCAAAGTCATATTAAAAAGTAATAAAGTAACAAGAAAGCCACAAACCAAACAATCTTCCACATGTGGCAAGTACAATTTTGAAAAGGAAAAAAACCAAACAAACAAAAAACCAAGAAACCCCTCAGTACTTCATAAAAACACCTTAAAAAATCTATTTGCTCATATATTTAACAGAAATGATCAATATTTGAGTGGTAATGTTTTGACATATTCAAATATTTAAAAAAAATCTTTTGATTACTTCTACACACACACAAAAAAAAATCTAGGCTTATCAATGTTTAGTCACACAGACTAAGAAACCCTATTCTAGACAAACCGCAATCCGTATTTTTGCTTCAAATTAATTCATCATAGAATATAGTGTGTAAATTATGAGAAGCACTATGCAGAAATCGGAGGGAAGGCATGCACCAACAACAGAATTCTATTCATTAGGCATCTCTCCAGGCCATGCTATACTAATATCAGGCTGCAGTTCTGCTCCAATGATTCTACAACCAAAATTTCAGAGGCAGCACAGTA